TAAATAAAAAATATGAGAACAAAAAAGAGTTTTTTCCTTTGCCAAAGACAAAAAAGTGTTTAATAAATAAAGAGTAAAACAATACCAACGCCAATTTATTTTTATTTTTAGGTTAAATTATATAAAACTTTCCTAAACTTTGAACAACATACAAATAATTCCGTTAACCTTTTGAACTTAATAATGAACCCACCTAAAGTTTCAACCCTGTATGGATAAACCTCAATCATCAATAGCCCCTTAAGTTATGTTCCCTCTAATTTTTAATATAAGATCTAGTTAAAATTTAAATTTGATCATAAATATAAGATTTCAATTAACTTTGTTTTCTAAATCTATAATTTTTTATCTAAAATATTCTTATTAATTGATTGTAAGGAATTCTCACTAAGAGATTATTCCAATATACATAATTAAATAAACTAATTTAAGAAAGTCAATATAAATTTAATTAATTTTTTTAATCTTTTTAAATTAATTATCTATCTCTTTTATTAAGAACTGTATATAATATTTTTATATGTATATAAATACACGTAAAAATAAGTAGCGAATAGAATCATTATGAGAGGAGTTATTTGTATAAATGTAATAGTTTAAGATGATTCATGGTAAAATTTCAAAGTTTAAAAAGACTACTATCCATAACATAAAGCGCAGGGGACCTATGCATGATTTTGCCTTATATATTTATTAAATTATACCTAGTGATCGAAATTTTTAACGGAGTCCATAATTGAATTTAAAAATTCACTATTAATATCTTGTCATTAACTATTAAATTACTTATGAATTCAGAGTGTATCTATGAAAAAAGTATATTTAAAAAACTACTTTCTTTTTTGAGCCCCTCAATAATATTCAAATTAGGCCTTGTTAGTTATTGTTACTATTACTAATTTCGGATGCCATAGGATTATGGTCTTAATAGATACGATTTAATTTAATCAAACTAATATTTGAAAATCCAAATTAATAGATTCCTTTTAAGGTTAATGACAATTGCAAGATACTCTTATTTTTTTAGGTATGCACTAAGTCACTAACCACCATCAACGTCAACTTTATGCTTCTCTTCGGATTGTTTTTTTTTTTTTGGCCCCCTCAAAAAAGAATTCAAAGTGATATATTCAATTTTCAATTTGATTTGAATATTTCAATTCTTTTACAAGATGATATTTTTAATTACAGAAAGAATACGCACATTATTTCAATAGTACTAAATCTCATATAGTGTATGAATGTATCTGTATATTTTTTTTGGACTGAAGAAATGTGTATGTGTGTTTATTTATTTAAAACTAAGTAGATGATGTGTATATGACATAGAGCTTGAAAAATAGGTTACGTGTTACCATTTACAATTTACGAATATGCAAATTATTATAATTGAATTTAGAAAATTAAAAGTATTTGAATGTGTTAAAATGTTTTACATGATAATGTTTGGCTCAATTTGATTCCACTACTAACATAAGTAATCACATTTTAAGATTTTAATGATAACAAGACATGGTCTAAAGGCATTCATTTCAAACTAATCGAACCTTTTTTTTTTTTTGCTTAAAGAAGAACAAATTAAAAAAAATTTAGATTTGAATCATATTTTTAATATTTCCCCATCGGTCATTAGGGTACATTTAAGCCATCATTAGACTGATTAACTATAAAATCAAGAGCACAAAAACAAGTTTGAATATTTGAGATTCTACATATTACTAATAAAAATGTGAGAATCAAACAAGATAATGGTCCGCAATAGTGTTTTATCCTCTTGGAGATTTTTAAGAGTGTAATTCAACACATATGTGATGATGCGACAAAACACAAAAATTTAAATAAAAAAACGGGTCAACTTGTGGGTTGCAAGTTGTCAGGCTGTTTTTGGCACTAATATTACCCATTTTAATAGTGACTGATTAACGTTTAAACTTTTATGATTTAACTCCCAAAAAAAACACTTAAGTCAACTTTAAAACACTATGCTTAGCTTGTTAAATATGATGTCTTCAGCACCAAAGTTCACAATTCAAAATTTAATTGGTATTTAGCAATGCACACATTAATATTATATAACCATATTAGTAACATTGAAATTTACACTACACTAAACACATTACAAGTTACAGAGTTTCGAAAATTTAGTAACACATATCTTCATTAATGATCAGCTTTTAAATATTCTGAGTGTTACATAATTAATATTCTTTTTAGTAGAAAAAACGTCCAACTCAAATAAGACGAAATGCACCCACTTGTAAAATAACGTGAGCTCACATGATTATGCCCTAACATGTATCGTTCATTAACTCACCAATACACAATAAATTAGGAAGAAAGGTATAAGCATCACCGAAATATGACAATCTCAAAATAATTTTTTGAAATGACCTAATTGTTATGAAGCTTTTAGGAATTATTTGTTTCCAAACGATCTAATTGTCCTCGACAAAATTAGTTGTTACTGTTTTAACTGTTATTTTTTGATACTTGTTACTTGTTAGCCTCTTGTTGCCATTGATATTTAGAAGAAATTTTTGTCAAGTTAATTAGTTGTTTCTGTCTCAATTGTTATTATCATACGATAAGTTAATTTGTTACTTATTGAATTGTAATTGCCACTTCTTTTTTTTTTTTAAATATGGTTAAGGTGCAAATTTACCTCTAAGAGTTTAAAATTGTAACAATTTACATTAGTTTTTTTAATAGTATGGACAAAATTGTTTGAAACAAATTTGCATTCAAAAAAATTTTGGGTGTTAACGAGTAAAAACTTTTAGAACAAATTTACATTTTCACCCTTTTTATATTTCAAATTGAGGGCATTAGGTAATTTTGCTACAAAGTTTAATCCCACTAATCTCTAGAAACTTCACAGTAATTGAGTTGTTTTGAGATCCTAAATTATTAATTTACAAATTTGGGGTATTTTTATGTAAGGCTTATGTCATAATTTGATTCTACTAGCGGGTAAATAAATAGTGTCTTAACCATGATATGTCTCTCATGATTAATTGTTATACAGCTGGTGGGGTGAAGGAATCGTATTCTGTTGTATCAAATTCAAAACTTCTAAGACAAATTTGCCCCTTGACCTTTTTTTATATTTCAAATTAAGGGCATTAGGTAATTTTGCTACAAAATTTAATCCCACTAATCTCTAGAAACTTCATAGTAATTGAGTTGTTTTGAGATCCTAAATTATTAATTTACAAATTTGGGGTATTCTTATGTAAGGCTCATGTCATGATTTGATTCTACTAGTCGGTAAATAAATAGTGTCTTAACTATGATATGTCTCTCATGATTAATTGTTATACAGCTGGTGGGGTGAAGGAATCATATTTTGTTGTATCAAATTCAAAATTTTGAGGACAAATTTATACCTTAACCCTTTTTAATATTTCAAATTAAGGGCATTAGGTAATTTTGCTACATAGTTTAATCCCCCTAATCTCTAAAAATTTCATAGTAATTGAATCGTTTTGAGATCCTAAATTATTAATTTACTGATCTGGGGTATTTTTTATGTAAGGCTTATATCATAATTTGATTCTACTAGCAGGTAAATAAATAGTATCTTAATCATAAAATGTCTCTCATGATTAATTGTTATACGGTTGGCAGGGGTGAAGGAATCGTATTTTGTTGTCAAATTCAAAACACAGACTATGTTTATTCAATTATCATTTTATCTTTTGACTCTTATTTAGGAATTCAAGTGTCTTTTCATATTTATATGGTTACTTTCCATGTTCTTCCCCCCCCCCCACTTTTTATCGTACAAATCAAACCAGCACACAAATAAAATTATTTGTTAAAAAAAGTGTGTTTGAAGAAAACCAAAACGGCTGAAAACAAAGATGCCATTGGTTTTTTTAATATTCAATCACTCCCTTAAATAACGACAATCCCCATTACTCAGACCAAGCTATCTGATTTAGTAAAATTATTATTAACTTCCCATCAATAGTATTGCCTTCTATGTTCTCTGTCCTGAAGAATAGTATTGCTTTTTTATAATTTTCACATTTCATATTGATTGATTGATATTTTACGGTACGTGGCACTTAACAACAAAAGTGAAAATAAGACTATCTTTTTATTCTCTACTGTGTTTCCTTTTCATCTCTCAAATCATGGACGACACATTTTCACTTGCTAAATGCTGAGAATTGAGATCCACAAATATTTGTACTGAAGTTTGAAAGAAAAAAGGAATAAAAAGAAATGCACAGCAACACGTGGGGTGGGGAAAACTAAGCACTCAAAAGGAAGAAAGAGAGAAGCTGCAGCAGCAGCCGCCTAGGGCCAAGGAAGAAGAGAGAGGGCCATTTTCTTTGGTCCCATGAATGAATGAATGAATATGCCACTTTCATTTCTCCAAAGTGGAAAGGAAAGGAAAGGGAAAAAGAAAGACATTAAAAAGCTTGCTGGGTCATTGACCAATGACCCTTTCAATTACAATTACAAACAGACAAAACACGATGACTCCTTCCCCCCACTATGGACCCTACCACTCCCACACATTGGTCTCCAACTCCATCACGCAACCAAACAGAGCTCAACTTGGCATCTCCCATACCTCCATCTGTTTCTGGGGTCCATCTTCACATGCCAGAGGATAAGCTCAAGTGATGAAAAAAAATGGGGCCATAAAAAAGGACACAACTTTACTCCATCTATATCCTTTCCTAACCAATTCACCACCAAATTTTTCTCCTGCTTGTTCAACCTGTTATATCAGATAACAATATATATATGGCAGAGTTCAGTGAATCATATGTGTCATGAAACACTTCTCATCATCTTCACTTGCAAATCAGTGAGTCTGCCATACAGTAGAGTCCACTAATTAGTCGTTTGTAAGCATCAAATAATGAAAAGCATCTTCCAACACGATGGAGCCCACAAAGTCATGCGTGACAGGAAACTGATAATTAGGCCCTATGCAGGCTGAACTAACAATTCCGGCCATGATTCAAGGGAAAACTAAAATCTAAAAGAGAGAATTATATAAAAATCTTATTTATATCACATTCTTACATAAAAGTTTAAAGACACATAATACAGGGTTACATAATGGGAGCATCCATTGTTTATTAACCCCATATACCAGACCTGCCAAGCACAGAATAATAATATTATCTAGACCTACAAGGACTTGTTTTGGCCATAACCTACAATTACAAGTGAAGAAAAATGCAATAACTACCTTTTTTCTTAGCCACGGGATCTTCCCATGATTTCAAGGAAAAAAATAAGAGTCCCGTGATACATGTGATTTCCCCAAGTCAATTTCAATGGTGATACCATATTGATGACATTTCTGACTGTTTGTGAAGAGATTCCATTCCTCCTACTCCTGCTTGTATGTCATCCTTAAAATCAAAAGATGCCAGATCACAAGGGGACCCAAACATTAAATGGAAATTGCTGCCGTTGTTATTGTTGCTGCTGCTGCTGCTGTTGTTGTGGTGCTGATGGTTGGTTTCAAAAGGAGAGTTAAAAGCCTTGAACGGGTCAAAATGACCTTCCTCTCGGGCAAACATCGGCTGGTTATTGGACATGTTGGAGTCTTCAAAGAAGTTTCCATCCATTACAACTCCTTGATTAGGGAAGAAATTGTTCTGCTGCTGCTGAATGTTGGGCTGGGAAAGGTTTTGATTTTCTACAGCGACACGGTTACTGGAACTTACGTTCTTATTTCCTTGAGCATTCGCATCATAGACTGACATAAGGTCGCTTATCAATTTCTGGCCATCTTCAGGAACTCCAAGGCCCGATAGATTCAATGAAGGTGGAACTAAATTAACAGACTGGGCACTTGGTTTGGGCTGCGTGAAAGATTGAGGGAAGACAACAGGCTTGACCTCATTAACGTGGAAATTTGGCCCACCAAAATCTGCAGAACTGCCTCTGTATGGGCAATTCAATTGATGGTTATCCCTAGAAGTCCTGTCAGCAAAAGCAAGACGAACTTCGCTGTAAGGGCACTGAGGGTGCTCACAAGTGTAGATTTTCTGATTCATCATGTTAAAGTCACCAGGAGCCTTCCTCTTCCGAATGAAATCCAGGTTTGTGATAATCTCTCCCTTGATTGGAAAAGAAGGTTGCTGGATTGGCAACCTTCCCCTCATGCCATCCATCCCAAGATTGGATGGATTAAGATTCTCAGGTTTCTGCTCCTCCACATCAAAGTTTGGTTCATCCTCAGCCCCTTCAACATCATACTCACTGCAGTCATTGATGACCAAGGATCCACTCCCCCCCGTTGAAGACAATGGAGGGCAATAGTCAGGGTACAGCTCTCGTGCCAAAGCCTCCTCTTGGTTAATGATCGCAAGCCAGGTTGCACTTTCCTTGGCTGTCATTTTATCTTGAAGGCATTTTGACTGCCTCACTAGCTTGCGAATCTTGGCAATATCAGGAGACATGTGCTTTATAACAGCAGTCAACACCCCCACCTTCCATGCCTTCTTCAGGTCATGTGGTTTCTTATATGGCGGAGGGCCTTGATCTTTAGGTAAACCGATTTGTGGCCACCAATCTTCATTCCCAGTGGGCCACCATGGTGGAGCAACTCCCTTCTCTAATGGAAATCGTCTCTGAGGCGGATCGCAGTGCTGCATCAGTGCTGACAAGAGAGAACCCAAGGTTGTGTCCTGAAGCTCTTGCAGGGTGTGTGGAGTGGGACCAAGAGAACTGCATCCGTCATTCTTTCCTGGAATCGCATTATCTGCCTGATATTTTGCTATGGCAGCTGGACCATTCCGATCAAATCTGACTTTATCCTTCCACCATTCACGGAGATTGTCAGATGCCCCAGTCACAGGTTTTCCTTTCTCTGGAATTATCCCATAAACAAATCCTTGAGCTTTGCAAACCTCCATCATCTTTAGCATGTACTTTAAGATTCCATCTTGGGCCCTTGACATCTTCTTCCTCCTTGCCTGTTCTTGGGACTGCCTTTGCTTTGCTGTATCTGTTCCTTCCTTGGACATGCTTTGTTCTTTTAACCGTTTATAACGCATCCTGTCTCTCCACATCCTCCTCTGAAGCTCATCCATATCATCAATTTCATCATCACTGTAATCATCTTCAACAGCCACCTCTGGTTCAGTCTGCCGGGTGACAACATCCCCTTGACCAAGGGAAGCAGAATACATATCCAAATCTCCACAAAACCCCATCTCTTCAAACATCATCATCATTCCCCACGGATAAAGATATGCCTAAAACGTTGCCTGAATGTTTTTTTTTTTAAAAAAAAAAAAGGATTCCACCAATAAAAGCTACAGGACCAGTGTTCCAAACTTTTTCCCCTCTTTATACCCAGATCAAAGTCAAGAATTTCTCAGACTTTTTCTAGACCTTCAACCTGTCAAAGGACATAAACATAGAACAATCAAACCTAGTAAAACAAAGCAAATCAAACACTTTTCATGTAAACAGGGCTTTTAACAACGGAATTGTCATGAGTAGACTCTTCCTTCATTTTCAAGCGCAGATAAATCAGATAAAGTGCTAAAAATCTCACCAAAAACATCGTAAATGTCCTAATCACCAATAAATAATCAATCGGACCATATCTAAAATCTTTAGTCGGTCAGAATATTAATTAAGTGCTCGGGACTTGAATGATTGCACAGATCTAAACCAGCCACACGCAAGCTACAAGAATAGAAACATCCAAAGTCGCTGATATGGTGATTCATGAAGGAGATATTTAAACTTCAGGTCGATTTTGAAGATTATCTCATCAAACAATCATCAAAAGGATAACTGCCGAGAGAGATAGGCAGGTTTTCCTCCAAAAGAAGTCACAAGAATATTAGCAAAACTTGCAGGGAAACCTTCCAAACAAGGTCATCCAAAGAAAAGAGGACCCAAGACCGACCCAACCACTCAAGCAAACAATATCAAGTTCAAAAGTTAGAAACAGATGAGAAATCCAAAAACAGATAGGAGAGCCCACTATAAGACTCATACAGATCCACCTGGGAACAAAACCAGCATCAATTCAAACAAGACTTAAAGCAAAACCCCCCACGGATCGGATTGAGCAATTACAAGCTAAGATGAAAGAAAAAACACAACAAAACAGCAAAAGAAGCAAGCAAAACCGGATGAAGGAATCTTACCAGAAGATCCAAAATCTGAAACTTTCTCTTCTTCTGAAGTTGGCACAAGTCAATAAGGGAAGGAGGAGAAGATGGGTTTATGAGAGTTGACCAGAAAGGGAAGGAAGACGAGAGGAAGGAGAAGAAGGCAGAAGGTGGGAAGAAGAAGAAGGAGAGAGAAAAGGAAGAGGGAAGTGATGATTATGGGATTTTGGGTGCGTTCACATCTATTTTTGGGAGCGGCAACGTGACTCCCTGTGAATGGCAAATCTGAACCCTTCATGTCATCCAATGGAAAAGAAATACCCACGTCATAGAAAGTATTTGGCCTTTTGTGTCTTTAAAGAAAAAGCAAATAATTCATTAAAACCCGATGTAAGTTTCACCATAAAAAAAATTATATTACATGTAGTCATAAATATAAGAATTAGATATAAATTTTAAATCCTGGTCAAAAAAATGGATATAAATTTTAAATATAAAATTTTGATCCTTTTTACTTCTTAAATTAATAATCTTTCTCATAATATCCATGCAAATTGTATATAATAAAAGAGTTTTCATTAAAAGAAAGTTACATAACATATAATTAAAAATGATATTTTAATAACCTATTTTTTTAAAAGTATCCAAATAAAGAGAGAATGAGAATAATTAATATAATGAGACCAACCAATGGAAGTAAAAATTAAAAAATGATACTAAAAATCTGGATATGTATTTGTGTCTTCTATAAATGGGAATATGTTACCAAAAAAAAAATCTAATAGCAGCATTATCCATGCATATAGAAATATTAAGTAACTTTTTTATTTCGTGTTTATGAAAAAAACTAAAACAGAGTAAGAGATTAGTCATAGATACAATACAAGTTGTAATATCCAAGAAGGTTAAAAAAGGTTGGAATATTCATAATCATATGCCAAAGATAATACTCCTCCGGTCCTTATTATAAGACTCCATTTGACTTTTTATTTGGTCCTAATTATAAGACCCCAATCCATTTTGTCTCTTATATTTATGCATTTTTTTTCCAAGATAATCCTTCTAATAATGATAGTTTTAGCCAATATACTTAATTAGCAAGGATATTTTAGGAATGACAACACTTATTTATTATAAATAACCAACTTAACTTACTTCCTTAATCTCCTCAAATAAGTCAATTGGGTCTTATAATTAGGACCGGAGGAGTATCTTGCTAACCTCCGTATGAAATACATTGGAACATTTCAGTTTATGTTAAAAATTGCTGGGAAAAAAAAAGCTTGTGTCAAAAATTAAAATAATCCATATATAAATTTTATGAAAATTTACATAGCTCATAAATTGTAAATTTATGCATAATTTTTTAATTGTTTGTGGATTAATATATTTTTATATAAATATTACTTTTATGATTATGTATAAATATTTTTATATTTTAATTTAATTATATTATTTTAATCATGATCGTTCTAATTTTGATTAGACCACTAAATCTCAAACTGTTGTTTTGATTTGTTTGATGACTGATCTGATTTTTAATATTTTGATTAAAAATTACCTACTTCAATTAATTTGATGATTGGCCCGATTTCTAACATTTTGCTTAAAAATTATCAGCCACTAACATTTAAAAAAAAAACCTAATTTAGAAAAAGGTGGGAAACAAGGAGAAAAACCAAGAGAGAAGAAGAAAGAATGAGAGTGGTTGATGGGATAGTTATTGAGGAAAAGAAACACAAAACACAACAATAGTTGAAACTTTCTATATTTGCTTGCATTCAATAATTCTCTCTTTTGAACCCCTCCTGGCAAGTTTTAGATTCATAATGTCTCTTTTTCAATTTCCCTTTCCACTCTTGATATTTCACCCCCATTCCTCTTTTTCAACCTTGACCAAACATTTTGCATTTCTCTCATTTGGACTAATGACACTTGGCTGTATAGTTTGGCAATAATAAGAAATATTATTCATTTGTCATTGAATAGGCTTCATAATAATCTTCATAAATAACATTACTAATTTTTTTTTATAGATTTTGCAATTTATATTAACTGTTGTCCGAGGGTAATATATATATATATATATATTGTGCTAAAGCATAGTTATCCTCCTATTAGAGAAAATCCTATTCGAAACACTGTCGGGCACTAAATATGGGCACCTCTCTCAATGAGGATTCGAACTTTAGTTTATCACGTTGTAAGGGACTAACTCCTTCTATTATACCCAACTCCTGTTGGTAAGGATAATATTAATATGAACTAGGTAGGTCCCTCTTTATCTCCCTCTATCTCTCTCAATATATGATGTTAAAAGAGATAGGCTCTTTTTTTTTTCTTTTTTCTTTTTTGGAGAAACGGGAAATGTTCAACTAGCAGTATCTTTTTGTGCTGATTATTATTATTATTTTAAAAAATTAATCTTAATATGTAAATATTTGAGAATATTCTATCAACATTTAAAATTTTAATATAGACATCTTTTTGTTAATGACATTAGTGTTAGAGGATTAAAAGGACACATTACAAAATCAAAAGATCAAGATAAAACTTATATGTAATTAAGGGACCAAAGATGCACTCTTGCCGTTAGAGATTTTAATATGGTTTTAGTAAAAAAGAATTACCCTTTAATTTGTTAAATAAAAACAATGAAGTTTTCTTCATATTTTATTGGACAGACGATGAAGAGGAGGATGCTTTTATTTTATTTTTAAGTTGTTTATCCATTACCTAAGTATATTGTACGTAAGAGATCATGTCATATTAATTACAATTAAATAATTTATTTAGTTTTCTGAAGCTAATCAAATTAATTAAATACCTCTTATATTAAAAAAAATCATATTATTAGTATCTTGACCTAGATTCACTAATTCATCTAAGCTGATGTAGTTACAATCTCTTTTTTTCCTTATATTTTTTCTTGCCAACCTTTTTTCCCCCTAATGTTACAAGTTACAATCTTTACTATCCAATCCAATTCCTAGTTATTGTTGTCCTGGCTTCCTCAAATCCTGTTTGGTTTCTAACAATGTTTACTCTTAAAATTAAAATATTAACAAAAGCTGAGTTTAATAGAATGGATTAGTTCTTCATAAGTCATAATATGAAGAACAAGATTTAAATTTTCATAAGAAGAGATGCTTACATTTAATATCTAACAGTATCTTGAATTAAATTATTTTCAATACAAGAATGTTTCATATGTATTCTTAGCAAAGGAAAAAAAAATGAAAATTGGAATTGGAATTCCCCAAATGCCAATTGCATGTTCGGTTGACATTCATCAGATTTTATCCCATTTCCCAGTGATTTAAAATTCCATCCTACACAGTGAAATTGATGCCCGCCCCTTTTTTTGACCAGCAATCCCTTGCCTCATTGCACTACTACTACTAGTGAAATGGGCGTCCTAATATGAGATGGCAATTTACATTACTACCCTTGCATAATAACCCCTCAATCATTTAGTTTCTAAGTTACAATATGGTAAGATAAGATTAATTTTTCTTGGTAATATATTCCATCCAAGATTTTTTCCCCAGCTGTAATTGATTTAATTTCAATTTTTTATTATTAAAACAAGATTTGATTTTAAATTTGTGCCTATCTTGTAATAAAACCATAATAAATGCATTTGGATAAGACGTGACGTTCTAGTGCATAGGTTTTGGGAATTAGGCTAACCTGAAGATCAGCATAACCAAACTATTCATTATTCTAATAAGTGCCAAAGTGAGAAAGTTAAAATTAAGGACCCGGAATTAAGGATAATTGCTCTAAATGGCCATAAATTTTTCAAAAAATTACACAGCATTCCCTAAACTTCATTAAAATTAATTTGAAAATTTTTCATTTTTAAAGTTTATACAAAATTTTACTCTATGAAGAAAAAGTAAACTGCTTTACATCCTGTAAGTTATGCCAAAATTATACCAACCTTTTTTTTTCTCAATTTTCAAAATAATAAAAATTTTAACAAATAAAAAAATAAGTAGAAATATAATTTCAATAAATGATACAGTTAGGGATGAAGTTATCTAGAACATTTGAATTTAGGAAAGAAAACTGTGATAAAAGGGATAGGCAACTTCTTCATGAATAATGCCAACCACGCCAACAATGAGAAAAATGAGAAAGAAGATGACAAAAAATATTGAATACGATGTTTGATTGGAAAAATAATTGAGGATAATATCTATGTCACATTGTCATGTTAATATGACTTTTGTATGTTTGATTTTTTTTTATTTAACACTTTTCTTTCAATAGAAACTGAAAATATACAGTCAAATAAATACCAAACATAGAAGAGTACACGAAAAGGAAGGACCAACCCAGGAATCTCTTTTCATTATTCATTAACTTAACACATTGTTGTGAAAGTTTATTAAAAGTATAAAAATTAGAAGAAACATATGCCTTCCAATTTCTTCCTATAATCCTACTGATCCTTTCTTTAAAATCATTTTCTGATAAGCAAAGTTTGAATAATTCTTACTACTCTGATCCTATTTATAGGATAAAGAAAGAAAATTTTTTTTGTCTAATTTATAAATTACTTCATTAAATTTTTACCATGAATGTACTATATTGTCTTTCATTTATTATAATGTAGATTGTTATTTTTTTGAAAAATATATATATTAAATAGAGATAAAATTGAAAAGTTATTATATTTTAATGAAGAGTTAATGCAGCTTAAGGTTTTTTTTTTATTTATGTGAAACATGTTAAAAGTGTATTATATATAGAACCAAAAGAGTATTATTTATTTATTTTTTGATCGAATAATGATTGGTTTATCCATGGGAGTGATAAGTACCTAGGAGACAAGTGAGTACCTCGTTAACAAACATTTTAATCAACATTTAAAGAGTGGAGCAGGTATTTTTGACCAAACAGAATTTGAACTAAAAAGAAATTATTCAATTCTCAATTGGCTTTGCTTTGTAATATTACAATGAAAAATGCATCACCATGCATTTCAGTTCTATCTTCAGATATTTATAACCTTATAATAAAATGTTGTATCCATTAATTGAAATAAAAGTTATGTTAGACTGAAATGAGAGGAAATTCTCCCTACAACATATTTTTTAATTTACAAGACTTGAACTCAAAACTTAAGGAATACAAAAGTTTTTT